CAGTTATCAGTTACCACATATTATATACAAATTTATATTATCTATTTTGTTAAGTTATCAGGTCTCCTTCATCATTTCCACATACACATTTCATGATGCCCAGTATCTATAGGATTTTTAATCCATGACCTTTGGTTTTGAGTCGGTTAAGTGAATACATGTCTTGTGTCCATGAGTGAGTGGGAAAATTTATGTTTTATTGCCGCTAAGGGTGCCAAGGAATTTGTGCATGTATGGTATAATATATGGTTTATAAGATCTATTAAAAGTTTATAATCTTTCGTGTTAGAAGCCAGTAAGTAACGGAGGCATATTTGACATGGTTGTTTATTTTAATAATGTTGGGGAATAAACCAGGTAATAAACAAGATCTATGAGACAGAATCAGGCATAGGGATCAGTATGTACCTTATAAAACTAAGCTTGGAGTTTGGAGCCCCAGCTTTTGTTTTTGCTGTTGAAAACCATTCGAAGAAAGCCATGACTAATACCTGTTTATAGGTTATCAAATGAAAAAGGAGTGTTTTTATCTAAATGACAAGATTATTGTCGTAAATCATGGTATGAACAAGGGCTGTGAAGGTTGCAAAACTTTATTTAGAACCACGTTAGTGCTTAAAACACATCCTTCCAGTATCCCATTATTTATTTTTCAGACGAATTAGGAAGTCAATGAGTCTTCTCATTTCATTAGAAAATTCTTACATTCAAGAAAATATTTGTAAACATGACAATAAGTCCATCCAGCTTTTTCTCTTTCATAGTGTCCAGATTTAATCCTCTCTATACTCTATACAAGCACTTCCCAAATTTTCTGTTTACGCCACCCTTTATATACAGAATTTTTCCGTGGTGCCCCAAGTCAAAACAATGGTCTATCTCAGCATGAACTTTATGATAATAGTTAATAATTCATTTCCACTTCAGAATAGCATTGATATATTTAAACCTCTTATTTTCTTTGCAATTTTATGTAATAAATAATCATAACTATTGACCTTCTTGTGAAATTGAAAACTTGCCTATTGAAAAGCAATTGCGCATTTAATAGAAAAAATATAAAAGGGAATTTTTTTTTGGGGGGGAAGCATTAATACAGAATGCACAAGTTCTGCTGTCAGTAACGAAGGCTTATTTGACATGGCTATTTATTTTAATAATGTTGAATAATCCAGTTAATAAACAAGGCCTATGAGACAGAATTAGACATAGGGATCAGCATGTATCCTAAGCTTTGAGTACGGAACCCATTTTATTTTGTGAAAAACCCAGTTTTTTTGGCTGTTGAGATGCTAAAACTATTTGATGAAAGCCTAGTGAAATCATGACTAATACCTGTCATTAGTTGTTCCTTCAGCTTATCAAATGAAAAAGTAAAACAATACAAAAATATGTTGATATCCATATTGAGATTGGACGACCTACCAGTGTCTTAGTTTTTAGTTTTATAAAGCGGGGTTTACATTTTGGGTTTTATATATATATANTTTTTATAGAAATTTTTTGGGATGCCCTTGTAGCACGGTTTGGGGATCACTGCTCTTTACTTTACCATCCTAGTTTTTCCAATAATATGGTAAAATATGTACAAAAAATGTATAAAAATGTGACAAAAAATCAAAATTATCAATACATGTTCCAATAGGACAAATAGTTCTAATTACATAAGTAGCAGTAACATTAGAAGTCGTACTATGATTTTAAAAATAAATAAGAAATGGAAAACATTAATTTTTAATGACTCACCCCACTAGATGGACAACTGAAAGAAAATGAAATAGATAAATACAACAATAGACAGAAGGGTACAAAGACAGGCAGAGGTAATATTCGGGTGTGTAACATATTGCGCCCTAAATATGCAAAGAATTGGAGAAAAATAAATGGACTATTGGTAAAATTACGCCAAAATATGAAAATATAGGTAGATAGAAAAATAAGAAATAAAGAAATGAAAAATAAAAAATCTAAGAAAAACTGATAAAGAAATACAAAAAGTAGATTTGATAACCAGGGCTACACCATGTATTAGATTGAATTGACAAAACAATTATACTGAAAACTTCATAAGTACTTAAACAATAAAACAATTTATTATTGAATGTATTATGAAAAATACAGTGGAATGTTCTGAATCTACTAATTATGGACTATATGTTTTGTGAACTGTCCACATTATTGATCAGTACTTCATTTAAAAAAATTTCTTCAACATTTCATTTTGAAATTACTAATTAAATAAATTAATAAATAATGAATAAATAAATAAGTTAATATAAATATAATAATATAATATGAATTCAAAGCAAATGCACATAACATTTAAATACATACATTACTCTAATAATAAGTAAATAAATTAAGTAAATTAAATTAGTCTTTAGCGCATTTTGAGCCTCTCAGTGAGCGTTTTATGTTTGGTCCTGATATTTTGTGAATGTTTCCCTTTCGATGCCTTTTAGAAGGCCTATCATGCTACATGAACAACTTATGAAAAATCTGTAGCAGTTTGTGTCAAAATATAGCGGTTCAGAGGTATTGTTCTCCGCCTATATACATAATCATAGGAACTTGTTCTTTGCAGATTTTTATTTTCATTCTGCAGATAAAGCTCCAAGAAGAGCAAGCTATGTAAGCACATGCCTAACTAAGGTTTCATAAATGAGCAGTTTAGTTTCAATGCTCAATTGGGAATCAAGCAAAACGGAAATAAATTTTTTATATATTTCTTCCCTTTTTTTGGATTAATTTGTTTAAATGAGTTGTGAACATTAGATTTTAGTCCAGCCGAATGCCAAGGTACCTCATTGTGGGAGACTAGTTTATTCCTTCGCCCCAAAGCTTTGTGGGCCACAGTTGGGCATTATAGTAACTAATGTGTGTGTGAGNTTAATTCTCAAACTGTTCTGTCAAATTAATTTAAAAAATGATAAATTGTCATCTTTATATGTCATTAGGCCCTTTGTTCATTCGATAAATATGTAATAAGAAAAGCAATGTAAGCAAGCAATAATAATTACGATAATATTGCTTGTCTTACTACAAATTTATTGAATGAACAAAGGGCCTGCTGCTTTGCTCATTCAATGCTCAAAGGAATTTTAATAACAACAATTTACCATTTCTTAAAATAATCCAACAGAATTGTTTGAGAGTTGAAAATTTTTAAAAAAATACTCTGACTTTGTCCTTACGATAACAGAAACATAAACTTATCCTAACGAACTTCATAAGGTAACCAACAAAGCAACTGTTAGTTAAACTAATATTGTCTGAATTTTGACTAAAAAATTGGCAGAATAATTGCAGAAGGATCTAAATCCTGGAGTAGGTATGTAATGCTAATAGTTTAGCATTATTGAATTTATTTTGACAGAACATGAAAAGAACTTACGCAATTAAAAAAAAAAGAAGCTTACTCCAACCTTAATGCAACGGATTAAGTATAAACATAAGATATCTTAGGTCTGACTGTCATTTTGCTACAAAACCAACAAATATGGATATACGCTGTAAATCCGGAAATGAAAGTTAATGTTAACTATTTAACATCATTGACATTAATTTTACAAGACTACTTGGGCATGGAAAATAACATGTATTTTTACATTAAGGTAACAGATAAAAAACTTGACAAGAAAGGCCCTTTATTAAGGGAGCAAACAAAACATGAAAACCAAAAAAGTAATTTATAATAAAACTTTTGCTGTTTCACTTTTAACTACAAAGTTTAAAAAAGAAATATGAGATACCGAATACCGAGAACCTTCACACATCCTTGGGGCTATAGTCACTGATTGCTGATGCAATATCTCAGAGCCATAAATATTTTTAATTGTGTATAGATCTTTGTACCTTCATGTATGTGATATGTGTTATTTATTGGAACGAATGTAATACCCCGAGGAATATTGAGTACTCTGGGGTAATGTGGATGTATGTGTGAATGTAATTTATTAGCATGAATGGAATGGACTTATAACTCATTATCGAAAGAAATGTAGAGTACTCTGGGGTAGTGTGACTAAAATGAGTAAATGTAATTTATTAGCGTGAAGGTCTTATCTCCAATTAACCCAAGGAATATTGAGTACTCTGGGGTAGAGTAAGCTAATCAGAATATTATGTTTTTTTGTATGTGTTTGTCAGGAGGCTAGGAATAGGATAAAGAAAAGTGTCGGTTTCCTTTACATCAAATAACCTTATAAAATTAGTAAAGGAAACATTAAAAGAAATTTGAAGGACGACAGGAAAAGAATTGAGAACCGGCGATTACCAATGTCGTTTCCCTGCAAAAAAAGTTTATAGCGATGAAAAAATAATCTAATTAATTGTAATAATTTATCGTTTTTGAAATTAATTTAAAGGAACTGTTAGAGTATTGAAAAAATATGCTGACTGACTTCAAGGAAACAGAATAAATTCGTACGTAAGATGTCTTTGACCTGAAACGCATTTTCGTAAGTTAACTAGCAAAACAAATGATAGAAAAAGTATTATGTATTGTATAAAATTTGACTATTAATTTTATTAAATGACGGAAGAACACAAGATCTAAGTATTAAAAAAAGTAAAAAATAAATAAATAAAAATTCCTCTGTCTGATCGTAAGGCAACAGAAAGAAAACAAACAATAAACTCTGACCTTGAACTGTCAATCAACATATTACTTAACACACAAAAACACAGCAAAGTAGGTAGTTGTAAAATGTTTCGTAAGCCATGAATGAACGTTGTTTTAATAATGAAAAATAAATAAAACAGAGAAAAAATGCAGTCCTTACTATTAATTACAGATAAATAAAAATTACTCTGTATTTTTGAAGTACGTAATGAAAAAAGCGTATAATATTCATCACAAATTCATAAGTGCTTTGACCTTGATCCAGTGTTCCATTTGTTATGCAACCCAGAAAAAAATGACAGGACAAATTGGTGGTTTATAAAATATTGTCAATCCATTAATTATCAAATTTGAGATAGGTGGACGTTATCGAAATTGTTGACGACTATCGAAAATATTTTGTTAAAATTGTATCACGTCCTGTTCCGAGTCAACAAGGACTGGCGAACAGAAAACGGGCATAAAAGCTGGCCTTGACCAGGCGATCCAGTTGTTATGTAACCGGCATGAAAGTTCAACGTTCTCAGCGTCTTTCACCCGGTGACCCAATGACGTTGAATGAATCGAAAAACACGTTCTCCAGAAAGATTCCCCGGTCGTTTTCCACAATTTCCACTGAAAAGTCAATCGTACCGTTTGAAACGCTGGTCTTGTACCGGCCTAGTTCAATGCGCATGTTCTCATGCGACACCGCGCTGGAGCTTTGAGCAGTTTCCGTTGCATGTAGTGAGTGGGATAACCTGGATTTTTGGATTTTGTTTCTCCTTAACTTGTTGGCGTACTGAAAGTGCGAAGGTTTGTCTAATCATTGAGCAATTAAATATTTTCCATATGATTATTCCGTATGTATTTCAAGATCAATGTTAAATGTGAGATTTTACCTTTAAATCCTTAAGCTATGCCTGATTAAATGTGTCTCAACTTGACAATACTAGTACAATACATAGTATACCTCTTTATGTTTTCATTCCTATTTCTTTATCAATGCAGTGACCTTGATTATAAGTCAATCTAAGTAGAGCGGTAACATAAAAATACTTCAGTATAAAAATGTAATACATCGTAACACAATAATAAATTCAATGCTACAAGTTTAGCATATTTAGTTTTAAGTTCGAAAAAACGGGTTATCACTCAGATACAACAACATCCTTAATCAGACAAATCAACATCGCTCCATGAACGTGTCATGAGTCATGGGAGAAATTAGATTTCATATTCATCCTTTGAAATAAAGTTTGTTTTTGCCACTGTGATGTACGCCCGGTTCATTCGAAATAGATGTAATCCATTTTTAGTGGATAGAGCTGTCTGGGTCTACCGGAATCTTGGTGTACCGTTATAGAATATAAAAGATTAAAAGGTACGGCTACGGTGTACACATATGTAGGCATACAATCCGAAAAGGCAAAACTTTTGAGTGATGCACCAGGAAACGATCCTTTACATCTACATGATTATCTAGCTAAAAAAATTTTGATAAAACTGTTGAAATACTTTAAATCTATTATTAACCAAATTTTGGTAATGTTTTATGCCTATAAAATAACAATTTTACAAGGTTTTGGTCTAGATAGTAAATTTTCACGATATTTAGCCTAAATCGTAAACTCAAGCTTTTACAAGCAACAATAAAGCCTGAATTGTTTTTCACATGCTGAAGGTCTTTCTTGAATATTGCATACAAATCAACAAATACATTTATCAATTTTTTCTAATTGGTTTTAATGACTAATATTAACACGGTTTTTTTAATACTAAAAAGTAGTTACAAGTAGTTTACAAATAGGTTTTACCGACTGTTTAAAGTAGTTACATCAAATAGTTTTACTCTACAATGTTGATTTTACATTAGTTGTTAGCCTTTAAAGTAAGTTTTAACTTTAAACTAACAATAAGTACACAGGTTACACTGTTTTTTTTATACTAAAAAGTAGTTTTTGTAGCCTACAAATAGGTTTAACCGACTGTATAAATTACATCGAATAGTTTTGTTCGACAATGTTGATTTTACATTAGTTGTTAGCCTTTAAAGTAGTTCTAACTTTAAACTAACAATAAGTACACATACAGTTTTAAAACAGTCATATCCGAAAATAAAATAAAATAAAATATGAGTTTTTGGCTAATGTTAAGTATTACATTCAACAGTTTTCGTGGTCCGTTTGATCAATGAATATCTTTCAATTAATTAAGGTTTTAGTTGAGATAAAAAAGTCTGTGTAACGAGTGGGATTTGAACCCACGACCTTCGGCTAGATACGCCGCTACTCAACTACTTGAGCTATCGTAACTTCGATCCACTCGGACACTAACTTCCCATCTCAACCCCACCTTTTGAATTTTTCCTCCTGAAAAAATGGCAAAAAGGAGGAAAAATTCAAAAGGTGGGGTTGAAATGGGAAGTTAGTGTCCAAGTGGATCGAAGTCACGATAGCTTAAGTGGTTAGCGCAGCAGCGTATCTAGCCGAAGGTCGTGGGTTCGAATCCCGCTCGTGACACTGACTTTTTTATCTCAACTAAAAACCTTAATTAATTGAAAGTTAAGTATTACAATTTTGTTGAAAAAGTAGGCTTTACAGCTTACTTTACAGGAGTAAGTTTTAATGGACTTTTTAACCCAGGAGTTGTAAGGAAATGAAGTAGATTTTACATGAAGTTATTCTACAAAATAGGCTTAACAGTTTTTAATCTGATAGTAATTATTAATAGCCAACAAATACAAGGAGACGTTTCTAGTATAGCATGAAAAGTAGATAAACATATGTTACAAGTGGTGTTATCTTTATTTTACTGCTTCAGCTATTTACTGCTATTGAACAAAAATTACAAAAATAAAAATAACTAAACATAAATAAAAGGTTAGGAGGGTTTTTTTTCCCCTTTTGGAAAATATTTTTTGTTCATAGTAATATTAGCTAGCTATCCGGATTGTATGCTCAAAACATCTGTGAGTAGAACTATCTTTTCCAAAAAGTGAATTGCCATACTCACCCCACCTCAAATCAATTATATGGTTACGAAATATGTTTAACACAAGCTGTGAGCACAAAGTATGTTTTAATCTAAAAGGTTGTCTAAATAATAGGTGTAGACTTAGCCCACAACCTAAAAAGTAGACGTTACACTAGTTATTGTTTACTAAGTAAGTACAGACATAATTCATAACCTAGAAAGTTGATACTACACGAGTTTTAGTTTATTGAATAGGTATAGACAGTAAATATCGTAGAAAGTATGTAGTTCACGAGTTATTTCTTTCTAAAATGGTACAGTCTTAGTTCATAACTTAAAAAGTTGATATTGCCCAAAAAATCTGGCTACACTGTAGGTTTTACAAGAACTCTGTCTGTTCTTATTAGGAGTTTCACTTAGTTTTTAATATTTAAAGAAGCTGTTACACAAGTATTAGTCATAGTCTTAAACATTTTAGTCATAATATTCGTCCGACCTGCGGTGTTATCTAAAAATGTTAGTAACTGGTGCTTCCATAGAAAGCTGTTGTAGTACTAGCTTTGTGTCTGTAAAATAACATTAAAACAAGTCCTTAACGTCAAATGTGATTATTATAAACATTTACGAAATCTGGTTTTGTTTGGAAAGTGAGGTTTTATACGATTTGTTGGTTAGGGATATTTGAAAAAAAAAAGTTAACTATGTGAGTTACTAGCTTAAAATACATGTATTAATAGAATTTTTAAACCTGAAAAGTAGATAATAAAAATTTAAGTTTAAAGAAGTCACGATAGCTCAGGTGGTTAGAGCAGTGGCGTATTGAGCCGCAGGTCGAAGGTTCGAATCCCGCTCGTGACACTAACGTTTTCATCTCAACAAGACATAAACAGAACATACATAAAAAGAATAATTAAAATGGATAATTAGACTAATAAACATAAATGGATTAATATTTTATAAAGTAGGTTTAATATTATCGTGGCTACTATAAAGTAGGCGTTAATGAAATATTAACTTGCACTCAAATATTTCCCTTCTGGATAGTTTTAAAATAAATCTGCAGTTCGTAGCGAAAATGTTTCTAAATGGGTTACCGAAGTTTAGGTAGAGTTGTAATTATAATTCACTGACGGAAATGACAACCTGTAGAAAAATATATGGAATTATCAATAAAATATTGATTTTTTTCTGGCTGCATGTTAAAAAAAAAGTCTGACATCAATTCCTGATAACCCCAATTTAACTAAATTTAACATGACAAGGTCAAAAAAAAAAAATCGCTCGTTTCATTGTGTGCACTTGGAGTTTATTATTGTATTATTTATTTCGTACAAGTTGGGTCAACGTTCCTTGGAATGAAGTCCGCACGCTAGAAATTTTCTTGGCAGGTAGTAAAGCTTTTGAAGGACAAGTCCTGCTGTTACGATTTTAGTTTGTTCATTAAGTTCCAGGGTTGGATGTTAAAGCCTAAACAAATATAATGAAAGGTGAAGTATTAATTTCCTGTTACGGAAGGAGAAAGTAATCATTAATAACGATAATTGTACAATTTTCCTTTTCAAAATGGGTGTACTATTCTTAATCTTTTACGAAAGGACCAATCTGTTTTCAATACGCGTTCAGGAGGCCATCGAGGTGCTTAAATTTTTTTTTGCATATGTTGCTAATATTGTTTATATATTGTTAATTTATTTAATTAAACATATTTCAAATTGAGATAGATAATGCAAAACAATTATATAAACAATTCAATGTTAGCAATGTCAATAATTTATTTATCTAGTTTTCTAGCTTATTTGTGTTTAAATATTATCATAACCAGCCTTATCGTTATTTTTGATAAACTAAAAATTATTTAAAAGTCAAAGAGTGCCCAAACAATTTTGTCGACTTGTGATATAGTTTTTCAAAGCAAACTTTCCCTTTTTACTATCGTGACGTTAGTTTTAACTAGCTGTTACAAAACGTAATAATTTTCATAACATTAAAACAAGATCTATCATCATATAAATATTTGTTTTAAATATTTTTTGTTATTATCATTATTATTATCTATTTGTTTAAATAGTTTTGATAACTAACACTCCATAACAACTGTCCTGAGATACAGTTTTGGCTATTCAGGGTAGCTTGTTTGATTTATTTTAGGTTATTTATTGAAAATGTGCTAAGCGCAATATGGTAATTATTTATCCATTCTCGTTAAATTTTTAATCAGAAGCATGCTTACACACGCTTCATAATTATGGTTATTTAACAGATTACATGCTCATGTTGCTTGTATGTGATTTTTATGTAGCATTCAAAGTTCAATGTTTATCTTCATCAAATATCATCGTTTTATATTGAAAGAGAGAAAAAGCATATTCGATTGTCTCAAGTTTTATCAGACTCTTGTCAAAGATCCGCAATGTAAAAGTTACTCTAATACGCGTGGCACTTAACTTATATTTAACATCAATATACATATTTATTTACCAATCATCAATCACAATCAGTAAAGATTATGGGATTAAATTTAACTCCAAGTTTCCAATGTGTGTGTTCAGGGGATTGTTTCAAAGTTGTGTTTAATCCTGCTGTAAATACGGTTTATATTGTACTGTACTGTCAGTTACATTTGTATTGTTTCATTCAACGTTTAACCAAACGTCAAGTGAATTTTTAAATTATAAATTGCAATCCTATGACTTATTTTTTTAGCTGAAAAGTTTTATTTCGAAATTCTCACATGCGATACTCTTACAAATTTTACATTGCTAGTTTTAAACGAGGCAGTTTTAGTTGATTGAATTGAGTTTCCTGGTTGAATCTCAACTAATTACTGCCGAGTGAAGACT